CAGCAGAGATGTACAGGAAGCTCAGTCATTAAAGGACTTCATTTCTCTTATTGTACATCAACTTCCATATTTTAATCCTTTCGTTCTTAAAGCAATCTCCAGGCAAAGCCCATGGAATATTGATTTGTTTTTTGTTTTTTTTTTTTCCCAAATGTTGAAGTGAGTTTTATCCATTAGGGCTAGTTGTGATCCTATGGGACTTGGGGACTTGGACCCTTCTGGTGGCAGAGAGTAGGATGTAGCAGCTCTGTTCTGGCCCATGGTGAGGGTGGATTTTGGCATCACTGGAGTGCCACGCCACATACTCCTCACTACTCCAGCGCCACAGCACGCCCAGTTTGGCATGATGGAAACTGCCATGCAAGGCCAAATGCCACTCCTGGTCAAGTCAGGTCTTGTTTTGGGGATGGGCTTCAGCTCCTTCAGAGCTCCTTCAGAGGTTTCAGCAGCACTGGGTGCTGTAGCAGTCAGGGAAAAATGACAATTCCCCTATCAACATGCTTGTGCAACGACTCCACAGCAAGCAAAGGGACCAGGCTGTGCTTGGGGCTCTGCAGCAGATCAAACACTCTCCCGTCAGCCCTTGTTTGCACAGCTGCCATGCTCAGAAAAGCCACCCGAAGTCATCGGTTGCCCAGTTCAGTTTGCTCCTTTAAGTCTTGGCTGGCAATTTGCTCATATGTTAAAATATTGCTCCGGTGCAGCATTGCCTCCATTCATTTGTGTTGCTGACACCTCTGTGACAGCACATGGGCAGAATCACGGGCCTGAAAGGTCGGAGGGGAAATTCGGTAATTTTGCGTGGTTACATCAAGCCTTGTGGCTCCTGTCTGCCCATGGCATGGCATCCAAACCAGCGCTGCCCTGAAAACGGTGAATCCATCCTTTCTCTCCATATTGTCTTACCAGGATTAATGGGTTTTGTATACTTAAATTCATGGGTTTTGTATACTTAAATTTCCCTGATTCTCACTTCTAGATTTATTTTCCTCTTCTTTGTCTCCTGGATTGCAGCATCTCATGGGCCTTGCAGGGTGAAGAGTCTTGAGTGAATTGGTTGAAGTACTGGTCTTTCTCTATTTTTATTTTTATTGCTAGACATCTTCTTTCTGTCCAATAGCCTCAGAATATTCTTGAAAATGAACAAAGCAGCAGTGGCCAGAGGTGGCGCCTGCCCTTTGTGTCACAGGTGGGGGGATTTGCGGGCAGGCGTCAGGGTGCGGGAGATGCGAGCAGCACCTGGGGTTTGCCAGGACAGAGGGAGAGCATCAGGGAAAACAGCAAGTGTGATGAAGGGGAGGTTAAAAGGGTGGCAAGGGAGATTTCCTTAGCTGGTTGTTTCCTTGTTCATAACAATTTACATAATCTGATGTAATTTGCTTTAACCAAGCCCATGTTCTGATGTTCGCTTTTGGGGCTTTTTTTTTTCCTTTTTTGGAAACAATTAATGGGAACTGCTGTCACCCCAGTCCATGTTCGTGTCCCCTCTGCTACAGCCATAATGTTGCACCATCACATACCACAACAACATCGATGCGTTATCTATTGCAGCGTGGGAGCCACATATAGGGAAGGGGGAAGGCCAGAGAGGAAGGACAGACGGAAGAAAAAGGCTGCAGAGAAGTGGGGTGAAGATCCTATCACTGAGATGGGAAGGAGAAGGGATTGGAAAAATACGGCCCGTTGGTTACGATAATACTTTGGGGTCAGGCGGTCTGGTTTCTCAGCCCCCTCTGCTGCCTCCTCTCATGTGATTGGAGAAAAACTTTTAGCTTTTCTGCATGCCACTTCCCCTTTTGTAAAATGAGAGCAGCACCTTTTAAAAAAATAAATCCTGGCAGGTCTTGAGGAGATCGGATAGTCCTGTGAGTATTTCTGCTAAGTGAGATCACCGGTGGGGCTGTGTGGAGGCATTTGGAAGCTTAGCAGAATGAATCCTCTGAACCTTTGAGATTCACTTGGCGCTTCTAGAAGGGGATAAAAGCAGAGTTAATTAAGCCATTCCCAAATCTCTCCTGATCTGTGACCATCAAGTAGCTGCCGCTGCACAGAGCTTTCCTCAGCTCTTGATGTACCCTCGCGTCCGTGCAAGCCAGCAGTGTCTGTTTGGCTGTTCTGGCACCGCCGACCTGCTCGTGGGGGAGTGGGACAAACTTGTCCCAGTGCCCATTGGCCTTTGTGGTATGGACAAAATGCTCTGAGGATATTGCATCCGATCTCCCAAATCCCGGGGTGTTACTGTATCGGACAGTGTTCGGCCTTGAAGGGTTAATTATTGCACATCGGGGCTGTAGGTGATTGCTCGACCATGCTTTACTGTGAAGAAAGAGCAGGAATTTCTGCACGTGGAGGGAAGGGTGGAGGAGCGGGTGGCTGCTGCTGGCTGCAGTGACCTCTGCTGGGAGGCCCAAGGCTGCTCTGGTCCAGCTTCAGCAACACAACCTGCGACTTGATCCAAACCGTAGGTTTCTCTCCAAGTGATTTCCATCGATTATTTTTTTTTTTTCCTTGATTTTGAATTCCATTTTCCTTTAAATAGCTTGTCATTAGAGAGTCCATCTGAGTAGAGAAAAGCTCTGCAGGTCAAGCTGCATGATTTGCAGACGTGCGATGTGCAGAATACTAAGCCCTGCGTAATGCCATGATTAAGGCCCTGTTGGTCTTGGGGAGGCTGAAGCAAAGTGGAAAAAAAATGCCACCTTCCCGTCTCAGCAAGTCCCTGGAGTGCAGCGGCCATCAGCAGCAGCTGGTGTGCATGGGCATCACCTCCCAAAAGGGACACCTCCATCCAAATACCCTCATCCCAATGGGGGAGGCTCCCTTTGTACTTTGGGGGCGATTCAGCTTCTTCTGCTGCCTTCTTCCCCATTATATTTTATATTCCCTGTCTCCCTGAATCCCACGTGCTGATATCCTGCATCTGATTTCAAACAGGGGCAGATTGGCCAAATACGGAGGACCCCCGCAGCGGTAGGACCAAACCCTTTCTCCCCACTTCACTTCAGAATTGAGCGAGTTTATCCACCTCCAGAGAGCGCGGCGGCACAGAGTCCATTTGGTTTGCAAATCAGAAAGGGGAGAGAGTCTTGCCGCAACCCTTGGTGTGCGGCGTTGCGTGTCTGACGGGCTCTTTTCTGGCCTCTGGCTGTTTGTCTTTGCGGGTAACCCACCCGTTAGCCCTGCGTGTGACCGTTAGGTGTTGCTGGCAGCTGTCTCAGGGGGGTTAGGTTGGTTTGGAGAACCTCTGAGGTTCTCCAAAATAGAAATGCAAAGCATTAATATGTGCATGGTAAAAAAATGTATGGCAGACTAAGTTGAAGGCTTTAAACCGATAAGGCTATAGTAGATTATTTGTATTAAGACTGCCTTTTTGATCCTGGTGGTATGAGATACACAAATGATCATGTGAATATGCATGTGCATGGAGGAAAAAGGATAAATACACATAATAATTTCCATCAAAAGTGACTTTTGGCTTGAAATACCATTCAGGATCCTGGTGTGCCTTCAACTAACTTCAGCAAGGCAAAACTGCCCTTTCTCTAACTGCAGCCCTTAAGGGACCAGGCACTAGACGTACACAGCAAAATAAAGGTTTCCCAACATGTGCTGTGTAAAGCCAAGTGGGTGGTGTATTGCTTTCCTGTTGTCAGTATTAAGAACTTAATTTGTGATGCAGTCTACCTGGAAATTTTGCCAAAATATCATGGGATTTTCCAGATATTTATGTGGAGTGAGGAGCCTACTCATGTATTTGTTGCTCTGACATCCTGCAGTGCATTATGTTTGAGTTCACTTATTGTTGATGTTAAATTTCCTGTGTGTCAAGGTCCTTACAGGAATGCAGCTTTTGATGACTGATTATGGGCGTAAATTCAGGTCAGTCATAATCTTTCCAGTGAATTCAGAGGAAATTGGGTTAGCCTGTGTTCTGACGGGAAAGATCCTGCCGGGCGCAGGGGACCTTCTGCTCTCGGCATCTTCATGCAAACGTTAGGGCGCATGCGACCATTGAGGAGGAGGTTCTGACATGTGATTAAGCATCTTAATTAAGCTACTTGAACCTTGAAACATGTAGAGAGTTTTGGATTTGCTGACAATGCACTTTCACTTTCTTTCTGAACATGTCCATCTGTTGTTTAATGAGTGGTCTCTGCTTAGCATTTCCCAGCTTTCTCTTGCTCCTAAAACAACTGCCTGCAATTGGTGTAATTAACATTCTGCCCCTGGAGCTGTACTGGCAGTCTCTTTAGGGTTTGCACAAGTTAAATGCATCCTTTGGAAATTATTTGTAAGCATTTAAGGAGCAAACCCAGAGAGGCATTGCTCTGAGTAGTTAATTAGATGTATGCTTATAGAGATGATTTTTCTCTTTAAAGCTAGCGTTTTGACAAGAGGCTTAGTGGGAATGATCGGTGGGAATGGTGAGGGTGTGGAAAACCCATGAAGACGCTTGGAGCCGCTGCACAGAAACCGCACACTGCTTAATAATGTCGCAGGGAAATTTGGGCATCCAGAGCAGGTGTGACATTGGAGCAGGGCAAACGTGGTGGGAAGGAGCTTGGAGCTGTGGTAGGGCTCCTGCCTACCTGTGCCAGCTTCTGCATGGGGGCAAATCCCTGCCTCCCCCCTGCTAGCCCACACCCTGCCTCGGTCATCCCCTTGCACCCTGCTTTGCTGCTGTCCTGAGACTTCAAACTCCAACCAAGCATCTTCATGCATCTGACATGGGAACTGTAAACCTCTAATGCCCCAGATATTTAACCCTTAAGTATTTTGGCTTCACAGAGGACTGAAGGAATTTTCTATGAGTAATAACAGTATTCTGGGCTGTGAAGCACTCCTGACTGTTTACTTTGGTCACGATCATATTTTATGATGTTGAATAAAGCACTGACAAGTAGTGTCTAACTAAAAATAGCTTTACATTTTGCAGCCGTGTTTAAAAAAAACCCCACAAAACAGTATTTCATCTTATCTTATGTTTTTTTCAGGATCAAGCATGAAAATATAGTTGCCCTGGAAGACATCTATGAGAGTCCAAACCATTTATATCTGGTCATGCAATTGTAAGTACTGAACCTAATGATGTTTCTGTGTCAAAATTGCCAGCTCTTCTTGTTCTGCTTTTGTTCTTTAACCCAAAAGATGGGATATATGAGAGCTATTTCTCTTGTGTGCCGCAGTCTGCAAAATCCTCTGCAGGTGGTTGAAAATGTGTCTCCAGGCACGACGGGCTGGGCTGTTGTGGAATTGGGAACTAAGGTGTGTTGTCTCACCCAAATCAAACCAGAGTGAAGAGGAGATGCTAAGAGGATCAGAACTGCCTCTGTACATACAGAGTTGCCACGGTTTAGTTCTCTGTGACTCTACAGATACATGGTCTGTACTGTGTGACCCGAGGTGCCACCATGTACATGGGTGCTGGACTTGCAAGAAAGCACCGTCCTTGTCTCAGCAGCAGTGATAGCTCATACCATTCTTGACACGTGTCTCACCAGAGCCCCTCTTTTTCCCTCTTTTCTCCCTCTGATCCTGAGATGATCAGGATCCCATCAGGTACATGATATGCTGTGGCTGACCTGGCCCTCCCATCACATCCACCTGGCAGGGAGGAAGAAAGTGATGCTCATACTCTTTTTTTTTTCTTTTCCCCCCTTTCTGAAATCAATTAAAAAACATGATTTGAACTTAAAATGTCTTCTTACCATCTCTAGTTTCTCTCTTTTTCAGTGATGAGGTCACCTCAAACAAGAGCAGAGCAGGTAGGGCAGGGTGATAAAGCAGAGCTGCAAAGAGCCAGACGTGCCATAGGGAAGCCTGGAGCATCTGACAGAGGCAGCTCTGGGGTTAAATACCCCACAGGAAGCCCTGGGAGACCATGCCAGTCTCTTTGTCTGTTGGTAATGTCCAGGCACAGAGATGTCCTTAGAAACTGTTCTGCTGTCAGGGTGGGAAGAATAGTGCCCTGTACATTTTTCATCTGTTCTTGTAGCCCTACATTTCAGCCCAGAGTGCTGCAAAAGGCCTTGCACGGGAACATCAGTGTCATACAAATTCCAACAAACCAGCTGGGTTGTGGGAAGTACCAATTTCGTAACCACCTGATTTACAAATCCTTATTTTTTTTAAATCTCTAGAAAAAAAAAAAATCGATATTACTCCTACTTATTATTAGCTTGTTTAATGTAGTGTAACCCTCACTTTTCTAAATTCTTACATCCAGATCACTGGGTTACCTGAAATGTAGATCTGTAATCATAGGTGACACTGAATATATATACTGAGTATAAATTTCTACTTGCTCACAATTCAACACTTACTAGGGAATTATCCTTTCTGTTATAGCCGTGTTTGTAAACCCAGCCAACTAATTTTCCAAGGGCCAAGCATTTAGGTATTCCAGACAGACACAGCTTCACTGATGCCCACCGGGGTGAGGTGCCCGGCTGAAGTCAGCAGCCAGGAACCCGTCCACAGTGTTCAAGGCAGCAGCTCTGAGCAACCCCCAGCCCTGACGAAGAGCTGCGCCTTGTGCTGCACGGTGGACCAAGACATCCCAGGTACAAATGCACTGAACTGAATCTGCCAGAAAGCAGGATCAATGCTTTTTATCATTCGATGAAAAAAAAAAGCAGGAAAAATTCTCAAACACTACATTTTATTCGAATATGGGCACACACATGAATGCAATCAAGTGACAGCTCCGTAACAAACTCCCACTCATGCAGAGAGCCCGTGTGACAAACCTCGTGTGTGTGCGTGCTCTTAATCTGCCTCAGCTGTGGGGTACAACACATTAGCTTAAGCTTAATTTTATTAAAGTCATTTGATGTTGGGCCAAGCTGTTGCTGTTGGCCCTCCTCGCTGCAAATCAAACAAGGCCGTGTTGTCCTTTGCTCTGCACAGGGTGTTTCCAGGGAATAACTTGTCTGTGCTTTCTTGGAAAAGGGTTGTGTTATCGCAAAGTGGAGAGGACAAGATAGCCAGGTACTTGCCCTCGTCATGGTGGACGTTGCATTATAGGACAAGAAGGCCAAGAGCATCCTGGCTTGTATCAGGAATCATGTGGCCAGAAGGACCAGGGGAGTCATCCTTCCCCTGTACTGGGCACTGGTGAGGCTGCACCTCGAATGCTTTGTTCAGTTTTTGGTCCCTAACTACAGGAAAGGTGTTGCGTTGCTGGAACATGTCCAGAGAAGGGCAACAAAGCTGGTGAGGGGTCTGGAGCCCAAGGCTGATGGGGAGCAGCTGAGGGAACTGGGGGTGTTCAGCCTGGAGAAGAGGAGGCTGAGGGGAGACCTTATCACCCTCTACAACTGCCTGGAAGGAGTGGTTAGTGAGGTGGGGGTTGGTCTCTTCTCCCAAGTAATACGTGATAGGATGAGAGAAAATGGGAAAGTTGTGCCAGGGCAGGTTTAGATTGGATATTGGGAAAAATTTCTTCACCAAAAGGGCTGTCAAGCACTGGAATGGGCTGCCCAGGGAAGTGGTTGAGTCCCCATCCCTGGAGGTATTTAAAAGCTGGGCAGACGAGGTGCTTAGGTACCCACCTTAGTGGTGGGATGGCAGGGTTAGGTTAATGGTTGGACTTGATGATCTTAAAAGTCTTTTCTAACCTAAATGATTCTATGATTCTATGATTAAGGATGGTGCAACCTCTGAATTTTCATCAGTAATTGGGATTGGGATCAATTGGCATCAGTAGTTGGGTGGCAACTCCAAAAGACTCAAAATCAATTCTGCATGCCTCCTTTCCTGGTTTCCATCTGGGAGAAGGCATGCACGGATAATCTCTTGTTTCCAAGGTAACACCAACTTATTGATACAATAGCTGCGAAGCATTGCACGGCATGAGGTATCTGTTTGTTTACATCTCTGCCCTATTTATTATTAGATTCCTTGTGGGTTTTTTAGCTTCTCATTTTTGTGTAGTTCTCCCAAAGAAGGTAATAGTTGCCTACACTTAAAATTGGGGTTTGATATGAAATAGGAGAGGTTCTGATCAAGCAGCTTTCAGGAAGTAGCATTTAGGTTAAAAAAAAAAAGGGTGTGTGTGTGTAAAATTAGGGGCACTCAAAGATCAGCATCATGGGCACAACAAATCTCAAATCCATACACCCTTCTCCCTGGCTCATTGCTCATTAAGTGGGCGCTAAGTGATATTTCCCAAGGGAGTTTTTTTTGTTGCATGGACAGCCTTCAGAACACTCCTTGCAATGTTGTGGAAAATCCACAGTACAGTCCTGAGCATCTCACCGCACCTCTGAGGGAGAAGGCTTTTGCAGGGAGACCAAGTCTCCCTATGTACGCTTGCCTTCTGGTATGTCTACTTTTACTTAAAAGCCATGCTCGTTAACAGGGCAAGTTAAAGGATAAATATTGCACCTCATTTATTCTGTCAAAGATAGGGACAAGCGCAGGTGGTGGCGTGTGGGCTGGAGTTGGTAGGAAGGGAGGCAAAGAGGTGGCTGTTTGTGTCTACTTGACAATTTATTCCTGACGGTCCCTCTGGGAGCTCTTCCCAGGGTTATGTAGCTGTTGGTGAATCTGTCCTGTGTGTCTCCTGGCACGTTCATGGGGAAATCTGATCTCTGGCTTTGGTTTCACCACCCTGTTTTTACATATATTGTGTACAAGCCATAATGAAACTGTTCAAAATGTCACAATCCTCTTAGTGCGAGGTAGACCCAAGTCCAGCTTGGAGATCCCCAGATTGACAGCTCAGAATTTCATGTGCTGTCTTAAAGTGTTAACCTGTTCCTTAGAAATGACTGGGCCATTTTTTCTTTATTTATTTTCCCCAAATCCAGGATATTCCAAACTGATGACTCTAAGTTTGGCACGGTTATGGACAACTCCGCGCTGTCTTTTGCTCCAAGCAGTATTGCTCAGCTTTGGTATGAGGTGGAGTTACTGGTGCAGCTTCAAAGCAGAATACAGATGTAGGATAATTGCTGCCTCTCCTGTGATGATTCTGCTAAAATTTTGCAGGCACTATAGAAAAGTACTGTAGAGCATTTAGATTTTGTCATATTTCCATTAGGATTATGTGCTTTCAAAGCAAGAAAGCACCTGCTCCTTCCCAAACTTGGATTTCCTATAGTACCATTAAGACCTAGGCAGGCAACAAAGACAAACACTAAAATACTCTGAAAGTCTCATTCCTTCTGGATGCTGGGTGAGATTTCCCTGGAGGATATTGTAGAAGATGGGGGGAAATAAAAGTTTTATTGAACTGTGTCTCAGTATGACAGTAAACTGGTAGTGAACTCTTACCAGATTTTTGGTTGCTGCTGGTGCCACTTGGCAAGAATTACCCTATGATAACTTCTAAACTATCTGCCGTAGTTCACCTCATCAGTACAGGGAAATATCCCAATAACCTGTTGTGGTTAGTATTGTCAGATACTAATATTTCATTGGCATAATTGGCCTCTTTGGGTATTGATGATTCATTTTCTACATGCTGGAAAATCATGCGTAAAAATGGATTTACATAAACACTTTTTTTTTCTGTCTGAGTGTTACCGGGACCATATGCAAATGCTGTTTCTGTACGTGCTGCCTGGGCAGGTCGGAGCAGATTCCCAAAGCTCGACTCTGACTTCATCTGTATTGTTCACCTGCGTCGAAGCGTGAAACAGCAAAGTTTGTTTTCCTGCAGATCTGAGCGCACCCGCTCTGGTTACCGCCCCACAGGACCTGGGGCTGTTGCCTCTCCGAAAGGATATGGGGCTATGTTAAAAATCTATGAAGATATTAATTGCCTTGTTCTCCTTTATTCATCTGTATTTGCTCAAAATATGCAGGAACTTAATATTTTTGCTGTCGCTACTCTTCTGTCGAAGTTGGTTGAAGTTCACCCAATGGGTCAGAAGTTTCTAAGGGCTGGCAAACTGGGCTGGAGAGCCATTGCCTCACTGCCTTTGGAACACAAGCTAAAAGTAGGTCTAACAAAACTTCTGGAATTCATGTGCCTGTCCCAGGGCAGGATATGCTGCCTGTACTGGCTGATCAGCCTTAGCAGATGTTTTTCTAACCTGTTCTTAAAAATCTCCAGTCACGC